CAAAGTTTTCAGTCAGCAGATTGGACAGATGCTTGAAGTTTACATTGATGATATGATAGTCAAAACAATGACTACTTTACACCATCCTCAAGATTTGGAACAGGTATTTCAACAACTGTGCAAATACAGGCTACGACTTAATCCAGCCAAGTGCGCGTTTGGAATACCTGCTGGAAAATTCTTAGGATTCGTGCTCACACATCGCGGGATAGAGGCCAACCCTGACAAATGCAACGCCATTCTCAGCATGACCAGCTCGTGAAACGTAAAGGAACTACAGCAATTGACAGGAAGAATCACTGCTCTAACCATATTCCTCCATGCGTCAGCTCAAAAATCATTGCCAATGTTCAAACTATTACGCAAACAGACAGACTTCAACTGGACTCCGGAGTGCGAGGCAGGGTTCTTGGCCATCAAAGAACATTTGGCCAACCCACCAGTCTTGGTTAAGCCTCCACCCAATGAACCCCTGGTTCTGTACCTCTCAGTTAGTAATGAGGCCATAAGCGCGGTCGTCCTGCGCGAAGAAGTCCAGGAACAATAGCCCATATACTTCGTCAGCAAAGCACTCCAAGGACCAGAACTGCGCTATCAACAGATTGAAAAGGTCGTTTTCGCGCTAATCTTAACATTGCGACGCCTGCGCCATTATTTCCAGGGGCACACTATCAGAGTTAGAACGAATCAACCCCTTCGACAAGTACTTAGACAACCTGATTTAGCAGGCCGTATGATCTCATGGTCAATAGAGTTATCAGAATACGACATCATCTATGAACCGGGATAGGAAATTAAAGCCCAGGTACTAGCAGACTTCCTGGTTGAAATGACACACTTACATGAGGCAGAGGACAGTGTCGATTGGGTCATTTACGTCGACGGATCTTCCAATATCAAGGGGAGTGGTGCAGGAGTAATAGTGGAAAGCCCTCAAGGTATTACAGTGGAACACTCTATCCATTTTGGATTCAAAGCTTCAAACAACCAAGCTGAGTACGAAGCAGTCCTCGCAGGACTCGCCATGGCCAAAGACTTGGGGGCAACAAACATAACCCTCAAGAGCGATTCGCAATTAGTAATTGCTCAAGTTCAAGGAAGCTACCAGGCCAAAGAGGCATTAATGATAAAATATTTGGAAAAAGTACGATTACTACTGACAGAGTTTCAAAGATTCAAAGTGGAGCACATCCCTAGAGAGCAAAACTCACGGGCTGACATTTTATCCATGTTAGCTAGCACAAAAAGACCAGGAAACAACAGAACGGTGATCCAACAAAGCGTCCCTAATCCTAGCATCATAATGGCCGTAACCAAACGAAATGCTCAACCATCCCCAAACACGCAATCCATGGTTGAGGATGACACTATGCCACTGGATGATAAAGAAACTTGGATGACACCAATCTGAAATTATTTATTCAAAGGAGAAGCACCACAAGAAACATACACAGCCAAAAAACTAGCGCGCAAGGCTTCGTTTTATACCATCATCAACAACCAGCTTTACAAAAAGGGATTCTCTTCCCCAATGCTTAAATGCCTAGATCCCCAACAAGCTCAGTACGTAATCTCCGAAGTACACGAGGGAATTTGCGGACATCACATGGGAGGCAAATCTTTATCTCGAAAACTACTCCGGTCAGGATACTTCTGGCCTACCATGGAAGAGGATTCTAAAAAACACGTGCGACATTGTGTCAAATGTCAAGAGCACGCAGACTTACACCATGCTCCTCCTGAGGAATTATCTTCAATGTTATCCCCATGGCCATTCTACCAATGGGGCATGGACATTCTGGGGCCATTCCCAATCGCCGTCGGAGGAGTTAAATGGTTGTTAGTAGCAATTGATTACTTTTCCAAATGGATCGAGGCAGAAGCGTTAGCCACAATATCAGCCAACAAGGTTCGCCGATTCTTCTACAGACAAATCAAAAGTCGGTTCGGCGTTCCACATACCATTATAACTGATAATGGCACACAGTTTGTGGACAGAAAATTCAATCAGATTCTTCAAGATCTGCATGTCAAACACTGATATACGTCGGTTGAACATCCACAAACAAACGGATTGGTAGAAGCTGCAAATCGAGTCCTCAAACGCGAATTGGAAAGAAGACTAGAAGCAGCTAAAGGAAAATGGCCTGAATAGTTAGACCTTGTGCTATAGGTTTACAAAACAACCAAACACTCAACCACAGGTGAAACCCCATTTCGAATGGTCTACGGTAGTGAAGCCATGATCCCAGTTGAAATCGGAGAACCATCATGGAGAAAGATGTACACAAATACAGACAGCAACTCGCAGGCATTTCTTCATAACTTAGACGTGATAGAGGAAATGCGTGAGATCGCGCACGTCAAACAAGTAGAACTCAAACAGAGGATTGCAGCGCGCTATAACTTAAAGGTTGTCAGACGAGGCTTCAACGTGGGTGACTTAGTCCTACGCAGAGCTGACATCGGCAATAAGAATGCGCGACAAGGCAAATTGGCCGCAAACTGGGAAGGACCCTATCGCATCTACAACAAAACAGATAAGGGGGCATATGTCATTGAGACACTATCTAGCCTTACTATCCCACGCACGTGGAACGCGGACAAGCTTAAGACATTTTATAGCTAAGTCTCTCATGACTCACAACACTTTTGTCTTTCCAAATTATTGTTTCAAATAAAACTGGTTAATTTCCTTTTACTATTAATTACTTTCTGCATTAAGTTTAAGAACACAGGATCTCATGGTTCCTATCAAGTTACAGGATTCTCTCACGAATCCTCCAATTTACAGGAAACCTCTCATGGTTCCTATCAAGTTATAGGATTCTCTCATGAATCCTCCAATTTACAGGAAACCTCTCATGGTTCCTATCAAGTTACAAGGTTTTCTCACAAATCCTCCAATTCACAGGACACCTCTCATGGGTCCTATCAAGTAAAGGATTCTCTCACGAATCCTCCAATTCACAGGACACCTCTCATGGGTCCTATCAAATAAAGGATTTTCTCACGAATCCTCCAATTCACAGGACACCTCTCATGGGTCCTATCAAGTAAAGGATTCTCTCACAAGTCCTCCAATTCACAGGATATCTCTCATGGTTCCTGTCAAATAAAGGATACTCTTACGAATCCTCCAATTAACAGACTCTTTCACAATGATCTCCTCAACAAATCGAAACTATTCAAGTCCAACGTCACCAAGATACATCGCAACTCTCTATGCTCAGACGCAAGGACATGAACAAATAAAAGGTATGCAACATAATTTACAACCTGACATATAAACTGTCTGGACATGCAGCATGCAGTTATGGTGTTCAAGCGCCATACAGCGTACACACCACAATCCCAGATACAAGACGTACATTCGCACAGGGACTCTTTACATTCACAGGATCCTATACTTAAAGGATTCCTCTATAATAAAGCACGACATGCTTTGACAAATGATCGCAGAAAGACACACATATTTGCACAACTCAGATGGAACACACTTCAGCTGGGTTGAAACTCCATCCGTGATACAAAGAGCACGAAGAGCAACATGAAGAATGACGAAAAGGGTAATAACCCATTGCGAAGTATGCAAATATCAACAGTCTACAGGAAAACAGAAACACAAGCATTTGGCAACACATCCAACATATATATTCAACAAGCCCAAATGTCATGATTTCAAAATTGCGGGAACAAAACCCCTTACACACATAATTGTTTTGAATCATATGGGGATACTCCCTTTACAAATACAAAAAAAAATTAAAAGAAGACAGCAGAAGGTCAGACTGTCTGAATAGACATATCTTGAGGAGTATCAGCTTCAACAGCGCGCTTATTATTCACAACAAGAGGACCTTGAGGCGATGGCTCTTGCAAGGATGGCACGATAGTGTCTGTATCCATCGCGCTGATCAGTTCAACTGGGACCTCTTGATTTTGCTCATTCAGTGTCACCAGCAGACCATCCTTGAAGTAATGATAAAATTACACGTTCTCCAGCCTGGCAGAGGGATTGAAGAAGCGCACTTGCTCTATTACATTCAGGAAGGTAGCCTCTGCTTCTTTCTCAAATAAACCCTGATACATCTTCACCTCATCGCTCAGGAAGGCCTTCTCATCGGCCCAGGTATCAGCGTTCCCCTCTAGCTCAAGAACGCGCTTGTCCAGGTCAATCTTCTTCGCCTCCAAGCTTCTGTTGGCAGTGGTCAGCTTCTTCACATCAGCGTCCTTCTTCTCCATTGCTGCCTTCAGATTGGCTATCTCTTCTTCAGCGGTCTTCAATTTCGCCTCAGAATCAGCGTGCTATTGAGCGTTCTCATCTTTCAACTCTTCAATGCGTTCCTTCAGCTAGTCTACCGAATCTGCCACATATCAAATAAGGTTATACATACAACCGCGATATTATAATATGCAAACAAGCACAATGGAAAACCAAAAATACTCACCAGGCGCGGTCATGATAAATTGGCCCGCCGAGATCAAGCCTTGGGCCAGCTGACGCCATTGGTCCCGCGGCAGAGCTTCCAGGTGAGAACCGAAATCCCTGCCTTGAACACGCAGGTCCGTCACGGATCCCCAGTCAAAATCCGGCCATCCTACAGCTGACCCATCGGGCATCTCCTTGAAGGTTCTTTTCTTCCTTTTCGCGATATCCCCTTCCACTACTGCAGGAGGAATAACTTCTTGAGGAGGAGTGGGAGGAGTGTGAAGCCTCAAGGGAGATTTCAGCTGCGTGGCGGCATGACCACTCGACTCAGCAACAGCAGCAGCAGTCTTGATCGGTTGTGAGGAGGATGAGGAGCCAGCAAGAGCTGCGCGATTGGAAGCGATCTGCTCCATTCGGCTTACTGGCGTCATCCTTATACTATCTGCAAAATAGAACAAACGCAGGGGTGATTAAGCATACTTACTTGATACCTATGCATCGCGATACACAAAGATACTTAGATCAAAACAACTAGAAACAGAAAATAGCAAGGATTCACATTACCCAGTTAAGCTCGAATATCATCCTCAGAATATTCGTTTAAAATGGTATATGTATCCAGTGAGCCTGTAGCAGAGGCCTCACGAGCGATGTTACCCAAAGCAGTCACCGTCTGCTGTTCTAGATCGCTCAAATCAGTAAAGGTATAGTTTAACACGGAACTACTTGACGGATATTCCGACCAATACAAGGGGAAGATAGGAGCCTCGTCCTCGCCTAGAAAAAATGGCGTGGTACCTTCGGCGGGATAGATTTTGAAATACTCCGCGCTCCACTTGTTAATCTTTCTGCAGTACGACCCACATAATTTTACTTTTCCCCTAAAAGATATCCAGCTGTTGCGAGGGGGCATCGCACTGAACATATATAAAAACGACGGTACAGATTGGAAAAGACCATAGGCCTTGCATACCATCTCATACACTCTAATAAAACCCCAGGCATTGGGGGTCAGCTGTGAGGGCGCCACATTGAAGTACGCCAACAGTTTACAAACAAAAGAAGAAAAGAGAAGACGAACACCTATGGAAAAAGAAAAAATAGGAGTACATCATCATGAAATGCCTGGATGATCCCTCAGCCCGCGATGAGCAAATGCACTCATTCTTCAGGACGACACCAATCTCCCATTGGTTGTCAAAAGCTTTATCCAGGGTCAGATGAAGGGCCGCAGTTACTTCTGCCAACTCTCCAGGCGAGCAAAATACTGACTCAATCTTCAAAACTGAGTCTGACACCCACTCCAGGGTATCCATATCCCGAATGCTTTGCCTATTCAGGGACCGCATCTCCGAAGGTTCTTCTTCCGGACTAAGGCGCACAGCTTTCTTCTTGGCCTCAGCTGCGTCTTCACGATCTTCTTATCGTGAGCACCACGTTTCACCATAATTTCCTTGATACGAGGAGACACGAAATCTGATTCAGAAGAAGAGGAATCAGTGGAAGAAGACAAGTCAGTGGACACAGGTTTATAATTATCAAAATTCCTTTTCTTAAAAGGATATCCGGCTGGATAAATCACACTCAAGGGCAATGGAGTAGGACTTTTCGATACTGAAGACTCACGCGCGATGGAACACGAAGAATCGCGCGATGAACTCGAGAAAGGCGATTTAGGGCTTTTCGACTCAGCCGATTTATAACTACTATCAGAACTGGCAGAGGAGTCACTCGATATCACAATGGGTTTAGACATACTCACAGCAAACTGGGGAAACACAGACGAGCTATGGGCTGACAATGCCTTTCTGCGATAAGGTTGTCGCGAAGTTGACCCTAACTCAAAGGTACGACTAGAGGGAACACGCTTAGCACAAGCTTTGGAATAGGGGGCTAGAATTCCTACAGTAGGCCTTTTGTCTCTGGTTCCCAAGGACCTTGATCTGGGTAACAATTCCGACGGCGGACTAGACGAACCAGACCGTTCAAGGAATCTGATAAAATCCGCACATTTGCGATTCTCAGACACACTCCAAAAAGGCAGACAAAAATGTTTAACAAGATGAAAGAAATGCAGATAAAACAGAGGGTAAGAAGAAAAAAAATGCACCTGAGCTTTTTACTTTGGAAGTTCACACTAAAAGCAGGACGTGTCACCACCGGAAATACAGAAACAAGCTCTGAGAGACGAAGCAAGTTCTCCACCAAAAATGGCCAAATGATCTTCCCTCCAAATGAAAAGGCTCAAATACAAAGAGTTTTTCTCCAACGGATAGACCAAAAGCCGTGAAACGTGTTAAACACAAAACGGGTTAATGGGGACACGTGGTAGGCAGGGGAAACGTTTTACTCGCAAAACACCCACGACAGTCCTTAAACTCCCACGTAATCACAGCAGCATTTAATGCTCCTGACTGATTAGACGTCTAATCCACCGTTCTTAAGCGGTCGAGAATCATGATGACATTGCAAGGTATCATTACCGCGACAGACAACGACATATGAGTCACAAACCACCGCGCCTCAAACAAAAGACATATAGCTCATGGCCATGTCAAATGACAACACCGCAAGCTAGGGGGCATCTGATCCGGATATAATATAGGCCCAACCAGGGCCCAATAACACATGGAAGCCCAAATCCATTAAGGACCCAGAACGAGGCATAAAGGACCGGTACGGACGCAATGACCATATCGCGGCACACCAGCGTGATGACCATATCGTGTCATACAAGGCGCGATGACATCATCGCGACACGCAAGACGTACTTACTCACCTCGCAACAGGATACCTTCTACAGACAGTAAACTTAAGGGCCAAGGCAACACCACCGCGCCCTCACACCAGTAAGCAACGGACAGCTCCAGCTCGCCATAACTCTACTACTAGACACCGTGGCGGCAAGCTCCTCAACATTTAAACCATGACAGCCACACTACGTTGACACCAAGCAACATTTGCATTCACCATGAAGAAAGGCATCCTCCAAGCACACATCTCAACTACTATAATAAATACACGATGTATCACCAAGGTACGATCATCCTTTACTTTCACAACTTAAACACCTGCCTCTGATACTGACTTAAGCATCGGAGTGTCTTCGCAGGTACCCCCCCCCCCCATTTGGTGCAACGTGAAGGACGAAGGACAAAGAGCTCAGCCTCACCTCAACTGCAATACCAGGCCCAGACCAGAAACTTCCGAATGAGTCTCAACCGTGTGTGATTTGGGCTTAATACGTATTGGGCTATCCATACCGTATTTGGTCCGATCAGAATCACATAATTATAAAATAAAATATCCTTTAACTGGAGTTTTTCATTTCATTACTCAAACTTTGACCCATCAATTATTTTCCCTTTTAATCTTGGATGCTGTAATCAATTATCCTTCATGCTTAAATAAATTGTGATGCAATTTGTTGTTTTCTTACTCTCGAGTCTCAACCATGATGACCAGAGGACTTCTGGAGGTTCCTCTATTGCTGCTGCTGCTTCTTCTCCAACAATGGTGTCGTTTTACAAGAATTGTGATTCACTAAGTCAGATCACTATTAAGATCAAGGATGGATACCCTGCTTGATATTAGAAAGCATATACCAATAGTAGCACCGGTGGAGCGAGGGAGCGGTGGGGCATTTACCTCCCTTTTAAATTTATAAAAAAATTTAAAAGTGAATATTATTTTTAATTTTTTTATTATATATTTAATAATTGTATCCCTTCAAAATTTACATAAATATTTAATTATGCACATCATTTTTAATTTTTTGTCGCATTAATAATTATAACTTCAAAATTAAAATGTACATTATTGGCTTCATCATTGGAATGCATACAGAGGAAGCTCTCAACAACTATAATTCTTGTGTTTGTATTTTGCATATAGAAGAACAACAATCAAAGTTAAGAAAGATTATTTACTTTCGATGAATTCAAATCCCAACCGACTTTCATCGGAAAGACATGCCCAAAAATACATTACTCCTCCAAACCGATTACTGACTTGAATCACTAAAAGTCATTTAAAGTTTTTCTAGAAAAGTAATTTAATTCTATGCAGTATATACATGAACATAAACACTAATATACATATAAGAAAAACTAGTAGTAATTTGTATAAGTTCAACAATACAACGTACACACATAAGGTAAAAAAATGAAAATCAGAATCAGAAAAGTCAAGATCACAATCACAAAGGACTTTGTCTAATAGTAGGGAACCTTCTTAAATTGGGGCAGGCATCAATGTCCAATAGCTGCGTGGATCCGCAAACTAAAATTCCTCTGCACACGCTCTCCAATTGTGGTAAATATTTCAACTCCAATCTGGTTAACCTGGGGAGTGTAATGCTGGAACCATCATCATCTCCAGAGTTACTCACAGCAAATATCTCCTTCATTGAAGCACATTCAATTACTTCTAAGGTCACCAGGTTATGAAGTTGTTCCACTAACCCTGGTGTCAGCAACTTCTCTATCCCATCGCATCCCCAGATGATAAAATGCTTGAGATGAGAGAAAACGCCACTGGGACACAATGATTGTGTTACATTAGGAGCAACATCTTCCTCACAGATGGCAATTAAACTTTTCAAATTATAAAGATCCAAAGATTTGAGGTTTTGGATTTTAGCGCATGCGGAACAAGAACCAGACAAGCAAAACAAGCTCTTCAGTTCTGCGCAACTACTAATTTCAATTTTCCTCAAAGAAGAAGAACCGATGAGTGACAAGGAATTACATAAGCATGTCCATTGATTATTCTCAGATATAGACAGTTCCAGAAGGTCTATTGACAGCAAAAGGGGGCACACATAGCAATCTCCAAGACATCGAACTATTCTATTATCTGGAACTCTTCTATAATAATTACGATGCCACCGACTATTTCCTCCCAAATGGAGACAATAAGTTTTGGGCGGAAAATCTCTGTCTTGGATTTTTTGCACATAAGTGTTGTATTCCTTGAATTCCTGAAACCAGCCTCCAAAACATTCTAGCTTACTCATCCCTTGTACATCTTCCGCTGTTATTGTCGCCAAAGGACAACGGCGGAGATTGAGGTATTGAATATTTGTCAAACCGGGTAGCACAGACCCTGGTACCAACTTCAAATCGCCGTTCCCGGATAGATCAAGCCATTTCAAGTTGATTAGCATTTCCAAGCCTTGTGGAACTTGGACAATTGAACAACATGAAATGTCCAATCTCGACAATGCTTTTAGCTCTCCCAATGGAGGCACATTTTCCAACTCTGAACACCCACGGAGCACTAAAGAAATAAGGGACCTCAAGTTAGACAGCGAATTCGGCAAATATCTTAATCTATAATTATAGGATAGATCGAGCACGGTTAGAGCATTCATGTTCATGAAAAAACACTCTGGAATACGATTGATCCGACCATCATTTAAAATCAAGGTGGACAAACGTGGACAACAAGGTGATGTGCCCTCTGGGATTTCTTCCATGTTATCAATCAAAGAAATCACCTCCAACTCAGTCGTCCATTCCTGCATGTGAGGTATCTTACTGAATCCTTCACCATATTTTACCAAGTACTTGTGATCCTCTTTAAGGATATGAAAGGCCATGTCCCTCACCAGCCTATGCATCTGGAACATACCACCCTCATCAACATCAACAACATCATCATCCTTCGTCAACAAAGAATGACCTTTTAGTTTATCCAATATGGTATGACCCTTATCAAATATTTCCTCCAATCTACTCATTCCATTTATCAGTCTACCATCAACAAGCTTCATAATTAAGTCAGAAGAACTTACAGTTTTGGTGTGTAACGCAAGATATAAGAAACAGTCTTGCAGGTTCTTACCTGTTAAATTATCATAGCTGAGTTTTAATACCTTGAAGACCTCTTCTTCCATTTCTTCTCCCATTGCCACGTTTTGAAGTTTATTTAATGCATCTCTCCATCGATGAATTTTATTTTCCCCTTTCATGATTCTAGCCATCACACTGATTCCAAGTGGTAAACCATCCAATTCCCATGCAACAGATCTTGCAATCTTTTCTACTTCAGGGGGAAGTGTTGCGGGGGTTCCATGGTGTCCAAGTTTTAACAAAAATAACTCCCAAGCTTCATCTTCATCAGAGAGAGGGTACACACTTACTATATTATTTGACGGGCAATCCATCTGTTGACACACATGTTCCAAACGACTTGTCAGAATTAATTTGATGCCATTCATTCTAAGAGGAATTCCCACCTTCTGTAGATCAATATATTTCCAAACATCATCCAAAATAAGTACTGATTTTTCTTTTGTCTCCAACACTAATGAAAGATTTGCTGCTCTGGTTCTTTCATCATCTCCACTGAGCTTTACACCTGTTTTTTCTGCGATGTCATGTTGCAATTTTAAAATGCTAAAATCATGGGAAACAGTGACCCAAAAGACATCATTGAAAGTTCCCTTCCTTTTTATTTCCTTCTCCATATGAGTTACTAGGAAAGTTTTTCCAACTCCTCCCATTCCATGTATGCCAATGATGAAGACTTGGTCATCCTCAAGAAGTTTCCACATCTCCTTAATATTTCTCTCAAAACCTCTACCAACCAATTCATTTGACAACACAAGAGGCTTCTGTTCCTTATGCTTCCGCACTTCTTCAGTCAATTGCTCTATCTCCAATCCGTAGGCTCTTCTTTTCAAGTCTTGTAATTCATTCAACCAATCATCAACTTGTCTCTTGCGCTTTTTGCCCCGTGACTCAAGCCATTGTAATTGACTTTTAATGTCTTCTTCCTCACGGGTTAGATCAGACACCAATTTATCGAAGTGAATAATCTCACTTTCCAAAGGGAGGTTAGTAATATTGCTGCTTCCGTCCACAGCCGTTGGCAAACCTGCTCCACATCAAAAAGTAAAATAAAAGTCATATTTCTCATTTCGGAAATGTTAAGAATGTTACCTACTTCCACGCATTGGCAGTTCAACTACCTTGTAATGGATTGGATGCATTTACAACAACGTCTTGTGGATTAGCTGAACTGGAAGCAATATTGTTGTGAACTCCTTCATTATCACGATCAATGTGGCAAACAGCAATGCCTTGATTTGATTTCCGATCCACATGCGCTTTAATTCTTGAAGCACCCCCTGTATACTTACGCCCACATCGATTGCACTTCCACATACCATTTCTTTCTCTAGTAACTTGATTCCAGTAGTGTGTATCCATCGGCCTACCCATGTTTAATATATTTCCTAAACACAGAAGATCATCAAGTTTAAATATTTTTGTACATCTTACAATGTAAGTGCCTCTTTAGATATATTTTTTTTAATTAATTTGTTAATTTGTATAAAAAAACACCTCAAAAACAATTTTTTTTTATCAAATCTTAAGGTTAAAACTATGGAGCTTACAAATACTTGTGTTTGCTAGCATCTTCCTAAGTAAAACAATTAATGTTTAGACTAAAAATTAAATACCTCGCAGAAAAAAGTTTTTATTTTTTGCTATACTTCTATAACAAAATAATTAAATGAAAGATAAAGCGATAAAAGTGATTAAACTGAAGATATAATTCGTTAACTCCTAAGAAAGCTTTAAATAAACACACACACACACAGAGAGAGAGAGAGCCACATCAAAATCAATGCATAGTAGCACAAGGAAATCAACTCACCTGTGCAACCCTGGATCATTCCACGCAAAACGAAACATACTTTCATTTCTCATGATCTTCAAACACAACCAAAAGTCCAAAACTTTTCTTGACACGTTTTTTCGTATAGGTAAAATTAAATTATAAATTCACATATAAAAAAGGACATGAACCCACGACACCATAATCTACATATGAAGTCATATAACAACTCATGGCGATGATTAAGCATACAGGCAACATTCATTTAAAAATAAAATAAAAAATCAAAGCTTTAAACGACACTCTTAGAGATTCAGTTTCAAGAATACTGATCCAGATAAGCAAACTTCAAAGATTTAAAACATAACAATTATCACTACCAACAAAGCTAAAACTAAAAGCCTTCAAATAAAACAACCAAATTGCAAATCACATAACATTATTAAACTAATACGGAAAGTACGGTGCATGCAACAGTGATAGAATATCAATTTACAAAAATCATCATACGGATCAAAAACAATATTAAAATACAAAAAAGTCCGAAACTTTTCCTAATCAATTTTCTTTAACTACTTATTCCCAGCACCAATTTTAGCCATATACATTGATTATCAAATTAATGCAAAATTAATTATATAAAAATCTCAGGAATGGCAATTAGTAGTGTCAATCATGAAACAGATATAATTAAAAAACAGGAGAAGCGAAAAGGGAAAAAAAAAAAAAATCATTAACGAATAAGACTTTTGGAGATAGTTGTAAAAGCAAGAGTTCTCTCTGAATACCTCGGCTTAATTCTCTTGTCTCTAATAAATTAATTAAGAGACACAGATCGAAGAGGAGAGATTTTCTCTCAGAGTTTATAGAATTTTCAGTGATTTTTTCTTCACTCACAATCAGAACTCCTCTCAACTCAAGTGCTATACATGAAGAGAGGTGGAGTCGTGCTTTACAGGCTGTCCCCCTAACGTACTTACTACTTATTACAAGACTTCCACAGTAACTTGTTGACCGACTTAAAAAATATCATTTATATAAAAAATTTAGGATAAAAATTACTTTAAAGTTTAAATTAAAAATAAATTTTTTGATAAAATAATTTTTATATATTTATTTTTGATTAAAAAATTTCATAAAAGTATTTTCATAATCCTAAATTACTTTAAAGTTTAAATTAAAAAATATAGTGGAAAATTGAATTTATCGAGAATATTATTAAAAAATTATTTGATTGATTAAAATATTTTGAAAATATTAAGTTAATTTTTGTGATACTATATTTAGTTGAGTTAAATTTTTTTTTGTCATGAAAATCTAAAAATACTACCTCTGGTTAATATTTTCAAAAAATCTTACACACAAAATAAAATTTCAAAAAGATTAGATTTTCGAAAAAAATTTAATATGTACCAACTATTGATATTTAAAATCATCACTTTAAATAATCTATTTTTATATTATTTTTAATGACATTAGACTACGATGATGCTGCCTTAGGGGGATAAAATTAAGCTTCAAAATAAATTAGTTCTATTTAAAGACTATTTGTCTGCAACTATTTTTTGTTAAGCTTTAGTATTTCTTTTTCTTTTTGTTTAACCTATCGTATCAATAAAAAATAAAAAATAAAATATTTCTTTGCTTTACCTATCTTGTCCATGATTTTATATTCGTTTGGAATCAAATAATTACAAAATAAAATATCTTTTAACAGAAGTTTTTCATTTCTTTACTTAAATTTTGACCATCAATAATTTTCCTTTTAAGAATTTAGACTCTTTGGAAATTAAGTTGTTCTTCTTTATGATGAGTGAGAGTGAAATCATTCTTGATGGTGAAGGTTTCACATATAGAATTTAGACTCTCTTGCTTTAATAAATTGTGGTGTTGTTTTCTTACTCTCAACCACGATGATGAAAGGGCTTATGGAGCTTCCTCTATTGTTGCTTCTTTTTCTCCAACAACGGTTCGTTTTACAAGAAACTAATATATTACTCGTGCGATGCACGGAGAAAAAAGATCAAAATTTTTGTCGTCCGTCGTGATTGGTTAATCGCACTGTAAATCTTATACTTACAAAAAACTGTGTTGTTATTTTGTTTTATATTCCAGGTGTAAAAGATTATAACATTGACACAGAGCTTTGCAAATATCAATCACAAACAAAAATCTGCTATTAAGAGGTATAATTAATTTTTTATACAACTACATCATAATACACCATAATACGTTATAATACACCATGTTAACATGAGAAAGGGATATAAAAAGAAAAATGCTTACAAATCATTGCTAACTATAACATTCATCAACAAAATCAAGGTAACAATAACACCAAGCAAATATGGATTTAAAATATCAGCTTTTACCTATAATATGAAAACGATATTCATTCAGCGTCATTTCGTAGCAATCATTGGAGGGATGAGTTCAACACTTACTAAATATGTCATTTCTTGTGCCTACGATACAGAAGGCAAAAACTCATTAAATAAGTAACATTAATATGTTAACACCCAAAAGTCATAGTATCAGCAAGTAAAAAAAGATTGGATTAAATTTTTTTAAGGACCAAAAAAAATATTGTCTGAACGGGATTTGAATGCAACTTAATCAAATAAGCATGTATAAGTCATATTTTTTGCTTACATTGCAACAAATGCATATGAACAGAATCAAAGCAACTACACTAATCTTTGAGATAGACTTTCATTTAATGCAATCACATTTAAAAAATAACAATAAATAATTATTATTTGAGAGGATTTGTGTCGTTAGTATTTTGAATTTTACAAATTTGTATTTACAAAAATTAAAATCAGATTTAGGAATTTAATTATAAAAGAAGAAGGATGGATTTTTAATTTAATTATAAAAATGTGTTTGTGGGTCGGCCCTCCGGGCCGAGTCCAGTTTGCCACCTCTTACTATCAGCATGTAAAAAGTTTTTATATTTATCCACAAAAAAGATTTTTATAGTTGTGTCTAAGTTTTTATATTTTATCTTAGAGATAAACTTTCATTTACTACAATCAGATTTATAAAATAGTAATAAATAATTATTTTTTTGCAAGGATTTGTGTCGTTAGTCTTTGGAATTTCACAAATTTATATTTACAAAAATTGAAATCAGATTTAGTAATTTAATTATAAAAGAAGAAGGATAAAATTTCAGTTGAATTATAAAAATATATTAGCGGGCCGGCCCTCTGGGCTGAGCCCAGTTTTCCACCTCTAACTGTCAGCATTTTATATAAATAATTTTTTTTGCAAGGATTAGTGTCGTTAGTCTTTGGAATTTCACAAATTTGTATTTACAAAAACTGAAATCAGACATAGTAATTTAATTAGAAAAGAAGACAGATAAAATTTCAATTGAATTATAAAAATATATTGGTGGGCCGATCCTCCGGGCCGAGCCTAGTTTTCCACCTCTAACTGTCAGCATTTTATATAAATAATTATTTTTTGCAAGTATTTGTGTTAATTACACTCTTGCAATAAAAAAATGAAAGTTTAATTTCTTTCTTATGTACTAAATTAAAATTTTCATTTTTATAATTCTTAAATTTTAATAAATAAAAATTTTTTGCAGAATGACAGACGTCATTTTTTATATAAATTTAAAATTTAAAACTTTTAATATTAATTATACATGTTTTTTTATATTTTTTTTTTCTATTTTAATTTATGATTTTTATATATATTTTTAATTGGTTATACATGTATATGTAAAATTTTTATGTTAAATATTTTTTTTAAAATACATGTATATTATTTTAATTGGTTATACATGTATATTTTAAATTTTTATGTTAAAATTTTAATTTAATTTTTGTAAAGTATAAATTATGTCATTTCTTATTTTTTCTTTAAAATTTGAAATTTTAAATAATTTTTATCGACTATAAATGTATTTTTATAATATTAAATATTATATTGTTTAATCTATAATTTTATATTAATTTCGAATTTATTATATATATCTTTTTCCACTGCATAAATATAAAATGTTGAACTCTTTTTCCACATATCAAGTTCACATAATTTTTCATTTAATTTATTTCCAAATTTCAAATTTATTTTACAATATATATAATTTTGTTATTTTACAATTTTTTTAATGTTTTTGTGTTTTTATGCAGTATTAATAGGGCTAACAATTATCCATGCAAAAAATAATGGGATATACAACAAAAGAAAAATAGAGGTCTTTTTACTTATAGTATACAACAAAAGAAAAATAACGGCACATTAAATGAGTTGTCTGTCACAAAAATGTTTCTAAAAGTTTTCCCATCATTACAAAGTTAAAAATTCAAATCCAAAATTCAAATTTAAACATAAATTCAAAATTTAGAAGAGTTGAGTTATTATTAATTTGAAAATTCCAATGTAGTATGCAGTGAGACATTGAATGAGTTGTCTTCCACCAAAAATTGTTCACATAATTTTTTTTATTTAATTTATTTTCAAATTTTGAATTTATTTTACAATATAAATAATTTTTTTATTTTACAATATTTATTTTAATGTTTTTGTTTTTTTATGCAACATTAATAGGGCTAACAATTACCCATGAAAAAAAAGTGGGATATACAACAAAAAAAAGTAGAGGTCTTTTTTATTTAAAATATACAACAACAAAAAAGTAGTGAAATATTAAATGAGTTGTCTGCCACAATAAATGATTAACTTAATTTTCCATTAATTTTTTATTTTGATTTTTAAAAAAAGTTATTATTTATTTAATTTTTTATTTCCAAATCCTTTCCCACCATTCCAATTTGAAATTTAAAATTAAAATCCAAAATTTGAAATCAATTCAAAATTCAAAATTCAAAATTCAAAAGAGTGAACAATTCCAATGTAGAAAGCATTTAAAAGAGCTGAGTAATTCCAATGTACAAATCAGTAAGACACTGAATGAGTTGTCTGCCACCATAAATGATTAACTTAATTTTTCATTGATTTTTTATTTTAATTTTTAAAAGAAATTATTATTTATTTAATTTAAAGATTTACCAAAGAAGGAAAGTTTCCAGATGCCATGTAGAGTGAACACAAATCTCAAACTTAAGGAGGGAGTGACACATAAGCAGACTTTCCAACAAATGAATTTTATATATATATATATATATATATATATATATATATATATATATATATATATATATATATATAGGGCTTTAAATTTCTCATTTGACATGAGGTTGCAAAAGTTTCTACACACACATAATTTAAATGGGTCCCACCATAAACAAAAAATAAAAAATAAAAAAAATATTACATGCAAAACGATCTCTCACTAACATGAGAATACAATTCTCCTAGAGAAATAGTTTTCCGATATATATATATATACTTGCAGTTTTTTAAGGATATTTCTTTTGCTAATGGTACAATTTTTTCGAATTATATTTCCATTAATGCACTACTAACTCCATCTATCATCCCAAGATAAGAGTTGCTGGGTTGGTCTAAAACTTGTTCTACATCTGTACTTTTGTCTCTGACTCTCAGAAAAGAGAAAATGATTTTGCTCCCAACCTTGGGAAAAAAGTTTTTTTTTTTTCTTTAAACTTATTTCTTTTAAAAAACACAAATTTGAATTTTAAAAGAGCTGATCAATTCCAACGTAAAAGTGGGACAATGGGTCATTGAATGATTAGTGGGACAGTGGGGCATTGAATGAGTGTCTGTCACCACAACTTAATTGAATAAAAACTTAATTTTTCATTTTGTGATTGAAAATATAATTTTTTAATATTTAATAATTTCAAAATTTGCCAAAGAAGGAAACTTTTTAAGTGGGTAATGGTGTGAACAGAAATCTGAGATGCAAAGAGGGAGTGACACATGGCAAAACTTTCCAACAAATGAGTTTCCTTTATTTATAT